ACCTACTACTTGCTCTGGGTACGGCGCGGCCGCCAGCCGTGCACAGCTCAGGGGCTTCCTGAGGTCTGTGTGGTCTCCCTCTGCTCAACAGCCTTTTGCGAATCTGCCCACCCTCTCCTTGAACTCCAGATAATTTTTGTCATCCACAATATAATATTGCACCAAACAGATGTAAGGCACATGGGGCCACATTTTGCCTTCCTTGACAGGGTTCAGTGGGCTCCCCGGTACCGGTGGAGGCAGAGGGGGTGTAGGACACCTGTATTCGAAGGGCTCACCGCATTTGAAGGCTGCTATATATCAGCTTGCACTGAGTTTTCCTTCAGGCCTTTGTGCAATCACTGTGATTTCTTGGCACTGAGCGCTAATGATTCACCTGAGTTGAGTCATGCACAAGGCCATGTGGCTCTGGAACGCTTCCCACCGCGATCGCGATCGCTGTGCTCAGCAAGTCCGCCAGGTGAATACAAAGGATCTTGCAACTGCTAAGCCTTCTAAGGAAAAGGAGAGGTCTGAAAGAAGTTCACACGTCGCCTGCACTGATCACAACTGTAGACTTTATGAATCAAGCTTAGCTGCTTTGCTGGAGGAAAGCAGTTTTTGAATATCTATGACTTGAAGGGAGATGGTGTATCTAGAAGGCTGGGTTTGGGGGGCAAGGCTGGATGTTGGGAAAGTAGGACGGGTTTTCACAAAAATGACAGAAGCCAAAGAGCCAAAGAGCAACAGAGAAGTGACTCCAGACCCCAGCCTCCTACATCAGGCATGGGGCACGTAGCGTAATCGGAGGAATGGGTAAAAACCTGCTCAGAAAGACAAAAGGCAAAGAGATGCCAAGAAAGCAGGAGAGACACAGCACCACTCAACATCTAGGGAGCAAAGCAGTGGTCAGTGCTGCAGGTAGCATTAGCAGTTAAAACAGAGCAAAAGAAAATACGGCATTCACCACCACCCAATCCAGCATCCGTTTCGATCGGCGGCTGAGCCGCTGCTCTTTTCAGCAGGGTGCGATGGGACGTGGCAGGGGTTTGCAAGGTTTTGCATGAGGTTGGATGAGTAACTCCAGCAACACCTCCCTTCACCACTGTTACGCAGCAGCTCTACAATCTAAATCAAGTATAATTAAGAGGCTTTCTATTGACCAAATGACACATCGTTTGGCCCCGCCTGTGTCTATTAATGATATACATTTGTTGCAATGCTTCTGCTACCCATACTGTCCGGCTGGAACCACTGCCAGTATAAACTGAACGCTGCCTGTGTGCTCTCAAGGTGGGGTTGCAAAGGGTTACCCAGAGGGCATGGGAACAAGGCAGGGCAGGAGGGGAGCGATCAGCCCTGCAAGTCCATGGGCAAATGTTCAGACACACTTACACTCCCAATGGACAGAACCACCCCACCTGCAGATGGGAGGGCATCAGTCCACAAAACCCAGCAACCTGTGATTCAGTGTCTTGAACAGGAAAAATCTAGAGTGGCCTTGGTGATCTGAACATTTCTGCTTTGACTTTCAAGATCTGTGTTGCTTGAACCTGTTTATCTTGTGTTTAGCTCCATGACTTGATTAAATCACAAGTCAGCAAAAGAAGTAAGCTCAAAATTATGGTGTATGCCCAGCAGTTCTCTTTAAGGTATCAGAATAGAATAAATTGGTGCAGTTGGAAGGGATCTACAATGATCATCTAGTCCAACTGCAATATTTGCCTATAAAAAGCTATGCATGTTCTCCCCAGAGACACCTGACTAGTAGATATGCCCAGTACCTCCCAGTAGACTGGGCTTTACTCAGTTACTTGTAGTTTCAGTACAGGAAGCATTTATTTTAAAATTCAACATGCCAAGCATGTGCCTTAGACTGAATTTACTTAGGTTCCTTGATGCCAGTGAAGATGGCTTTCTGGAAATCCTGCTTTATCATGGTTTGAAACGGTATAAGAGTATATGGGGAATGGAAGCCTGAGGTGTAAGAACTGGGCCATATTCAGATGCTCTGGGTTCTTCCAGGCGCTGTTTTGCTCCTTCATGATCTCAGAATCATTTAGGTTGGAAAAGATCCTTAAGATCATCGAGTCTGCTCTGAAGACTCAAGCAATGGGAAATGGTGGCTGAAGGGGCAGAGGTGGCAACTTGGCCATCTCCGTTTGGTCATATGTCAGTGTGTCTGGGTGAGGAAGATGGGTCAGACATGGAAGAGAGGCAAGCATTCAGACCAAGCTCCTGCCAGATCTCACCATCTTGTTGAAACACAGCACATTGCTACAATTTCCAAAAAGAGTGGGTTGCCAACATTTCATTTTCCTTCTACTCTGACTTAGAAATAACTAAAAAGAAACTTGGCTTCGCTTCTGAGCTTGAGGCAAAGAGAAGATGAAGGGGTTTAACCCAAATGGCTAAGCCTTAAACCGAATATAACCAAGTGAAAACGGGTTTATGAGAGGAATTTAGAAGTAGCACTGCCAACCTCACCTATAAAACGTATTATGTCAACTGAGCTCAACATTTTGTGGTTTTAGTCCTCTCCAAGATTTGTAATAGGTTGTGAACTTGTTCCTTCATATATTTGATCACATCAAAAGATATTCGTATTTAGAAAATCATTTGGAGAGTATCTAAATGAAATAAGGGATTTTAAGATCCCCTCATGTATAAAGGACTTTACAAGTTCCCACTTTTGCTGTGATTCCTTCAGCTGTTTCAACACCGATTCTGTACAGGGCAGCACATCAATACCACAATACAAATATATAAATATTTGTATACACTAGTGTGCGCTTGATCGAAAGAAAACCTCAACCTTAAGGAATGTTTGAGAATGTGATCTCCACTTTTTGAAAGCTAAATAAACTTATAATGCAGCCCACCAGCGTAAGGCTGGCTCATACCTTCCCTTCCAAAAGTGAATAAAAGAATTGTCACAATCCCTTGAAAACTGTGCCCGCATGAAGGAGGGCGATGTGTGAGGAATTGGCTCTCATGTTGATGTCAGTATAGTTAAAGAGGTAGAAACAGAAATGGAAATTGCTTCTGCACCTGAATTATTGTGTCTAGGATGTGATACGGAGGTGACATAGGAGCAGGGAATGCCTTAAAATAAGCCCTCCTGTGACAGCCACGCTTGCTGTGGGATACACAGGTGATCAGAGCACTCACTCAAAATTGCCTTACTTGACTTTCTTACTGCTCAGTATTTCATATTCCTCCCTTGAGAAACAAATGCTCTCAAATCCCAGGTCCTTTTTCCTTCCCCATTTCTCTTTTTTAGCATAGACTTCCTTAGGTCTATTATAAAGCTTAGCTAACTCCCAGGTTGTGCCTGGTCCTCTGTTAGCCTCAGGCAACTCTGTCACAACACTCCACATATACACAGATCAGGCTCTACCTTGAAAATCCCTCTGAGCTTCCCTTCCCAATATTCATCTCCACAAGGACACTTTTCCACCCCAGGAGTTAGAAGCTGGTTCATTCCCAGACAAAACTACTCATGGGACATCCTGGATGTGCTGATCCTGGTGCCAGCACTGAAACCAGAAGCCAGTCCCTTCACCCTTCCCAGTACATGGTCCCTGACCCACACCGCACCCCAGCAGTGTGGTCAGAGACATGGCCACGGCCCTTTCAGCTCCAGTTTGCTTGACTGGGCCCCACTGGCCATCTTCAATATCTTTTTCAGGTGAGGTAATGGTAGCAGAGTGTGTACAATGCTGTGCAGTGTGATGCCATCCTGGAAACAGTCGTCCCTTCTCTTCCTCACCAGAGCTGCTGCTTCCCACCCCAGATATTCTTTGCTCGTTCTGGTGCAAAATTCACATTGGACATATAACCAAAAAGAAAAAAAAAAAGAACTAAACACATTGTTTTATCCTGAGACAGGTCTTCAATGGCAGGACTGCTCCTTTCAGTGGCCACACCACCTTCAAGTGCTCCTCTCCCATTGCCTCTTCCAACATTAGTCTTCTTTCACACATAGGACCAGACTGAGCACGGTATCCCAGATGAAGTGTCACCAGCCTCTGTACCGTGGCCTTTATCCCACCTTGTATCTACTGGAAATACATCTCCACCCCCTACATCCTAGGAGTGAACACACCACTGTCAGGGCCATGGCATGGTGGTGGATCTCAGTCCTGCTCTCAGAGGAAGCACTGAGGTTTTCTCCTTCCCAGTCATTCCCATTTCATGGCAGAAACTCTGTTGTTAGTCCATGAGCTCATGCTCACAGCAACTGATTTCATCGCCTTCTCCTACTCTTTCCATGTGTGCCCCACTGGGATACAACAGCTCCCCTTTACTGGCAATGGTTTCCCAGTCTCCTCCTTGAGGAACTGCTTTAGCAACGTCCCCCAAGGGCTTCCCTGCTACTCACATTGTCCTGGCCAGTTCCCCACCAAAACACGCCTGTTAATTCCCATCTTAATGCATAATTTCCCAAATGGCGCTTTATCAACTGCTCTGAGAGACAAGGTGGGTAATGTATGGCTGCAGTAGATCTTATCTGGAAAATCAGTTCTCTTATCAAAGAAAGCTAACAGGTTAGGCTGGTACGGTCAACTTTGGGTAAGGTCTGTTGGGTGTTATCTCATTTTCTATCTGCTTCCATGTCGGTAAGTGCTCATCCCTTCAAAGTTTCTTTCAAAGCCTTTCATCCCACCGAGGCAAGATTAATCTAACCTGCAGCTGTCCTGATCTCACCCTTCCTCTCTACTCATTTCAAGTTTGAACACAAATGGAGTGTGTTGCTTGTCCTAATAGCTGCACTTCTTCAAATATGTGCTGCCTTCCTGTCCTGCAGAAGTTTTCAGCAGTTTTGCCACAGGCAACAGCAACAACCAAAAAAACCAACCGTGCTGATAATGGGATGGTTTTGGTACTTAAAGGGGGCCTACAGAAAAGATGGGAAGGAACTCTTTGTCACGGAATCTAGTGACAGGACAAAGGGTGGACAAGGACACACAGTGTGTGTGCAGTGTCACTGCGGCTGGGTGGGGGGGTTTGGCAAGCCTTCACTGGTAGCGCTGCCTGCAACAATGGAAACCAAAACAGATTGCCAACATCGTAGGCACATAGGCGTGGAGACAATACGGAAAAGATCCAAAGGGGTTAGGTGCAACAGTCTCTGTTGTGGAAAGGCTATTATCCATCCCTCTCTGCTTTTTCAGAACATATCAGTCGTGTTGTTATCCCCCACAACAAAGCTTCAGCTGCCTGGTCTCCAGCAGCGGGCCTGGTCTGCCACCCCATCATCAGGAAAGCAAAGGTCATAATGGATGCAAAGCCTTCTGCTGCTTCTGTACCTGAGGATCTAGCACGTGTTTAGGGGACTTCTCCAGGGGTTGCTGCGAAGCAATTTCCCTTTGCGGGCGACCAGTTGTGGTACTCCAGTTCAGGGCTCCCCAGTTCAAGAAAGATGAGGAGCTACTGGAGACAGTCCAGCGGAGGGCTAAGAGGATGGTGGGGGGGATGGGGGA